CAGGCACCATCAACTCTCTTCACCACATTTGCTTGTGCACACATTTGTCTTCAGTGATCATATCAGAAGACACCCACTGATAAGATTTTTTCTTCTGTGATGTCTGATACCTGGTTCCTTGTACACCTCGGGGTGACACGGGTTGGTGTGCTTCTTCCATGTGGGCTTTGATGCTTCTGAGCTAGATGACTGCTTGTTTACCTGCAAGCCTTTAAGACCCCAGATGCTATATCTTGATACTGTTCTATTATTTGAGGATCCTATTGGGTCACTTTTCCTTGGAATGGGCACAAATATGGATCTCTTCCAATCAGTTCTCCAGATAGCTAGTTAGCCAAGATTCTTTGCATAGACAAGTGATGAAGCTTCCAGTGCTTAATATTAGCTTGTTGAAACATTTCAGTTGGTATTGTATCAATTCCTGGACCTTTATTTTTGGCTAATGCCTTCAGTGCAGCTTTGACTGAATCTTCCTTCAGTACCACTGGTTCTTGTTACCTCTTGAAATGCTTGGATGTCAACTAGTTCCTTTATGTGTTCTTTTCATCTTTTGATACTTTCTGCATCATCCAATATTTTGCTTAGAGAATCTTTCAGTGTTGCAACACAAGGCTTGAACTTTTTCTTTAGTTCTTTCAGTTTAAGATATGCTGAGCATGTTCTTCCCTTTGGTTTTCAAACTCTAGGTTTTTGCACATTTCATTAAAGTATTTTATTTTGCCTTCTAGAGCTTTCCTTTCTGTTCAGCTTGTTTACTTCATCATTTCCTCCATTTGCCTTAGCTACTCTACTATGAGGAACAAGTTTCAGAGTCTCTTCTCACATCCACTTTGATCTTTTCTTTCTTCTCTTTTAAATGACCTTCATGTATGATGTTCTTGGTGTCATCCCACAGCTCATCCCAAAAGTGTTCTGTCATTAATGTTCAATGCATCAAATCTGCTTTTGAGATGTTCTCGAAATCCAGGTCGGATATACCCAAGGTTGTAGTTTTTGGCTGTTGTGGACTTGTTTTGATTTTCTTCAGCTTCAACCTGAACTACGTGTGAGGAATTGATGTCTGTTCATAGTCAACCTGTGGCCTCATTTTACCTGCTGATATTGAACTTGTCCATCATCTCTTTCCAGAGATGTAGCCCATTTGATTTCTGTGTATCCCATTTGAAGCAGTCCAACTTTTGTGTTGTTGAAAATAAGGTATTTGTGATGAAGAAGTGCTTGGTCTTGCAAAATTCTATCATGTGATCTCCAGCATCATTTCTATCACCAACACCATATTTTCTAACTGCTTTTCCTTCTTCTTAGGTTCCAACTTTTGAATTCCAATAGAAAATTATCAATTCATCTTGACTGCATGTTTGATCAACTTCAGACTCAAGATTTTATTAAAATATTTCAATTTCATCATCGCATAGATAAATTGAAGTTTATGTTTGTTTACCCCATATCCTAGATTTTATTTTAAAATACTAACAATGAAATTAGTTTTTATAATAAGGATAGAGGAAGACTTGGTGAAAGCTTGAAATGAGAATAGCAAGCACAGGAAATCATCATTGCATATAGTTTCTATACAAATTGCTGGAGGTAGGCTGTAGATTTTGCTTTAAAATTACTAAATCCAAGAAGGAAATAGAAGTTAAAAAATGATGGTACTTAAGGTAAGAAAAACCAAGTATCTGAACATAGTGCATTTTTTCCCAGTGAAAATGAAACCTGAACAAAATTTTCTAGCAGTCTCATAAAAGAAGTTCTGTGGCGTACAAAATATCACATTATCAATAACTTTCACAGAGTCGGTTTAAATATTAATGTAGTGCAGTTGTTTCTTGTAGTAGGCTTGGCAGTTAAGCATCTCTTGAGGATGGTGGGAGAATGATCACAGAGGCCAGGCCCTATCTCCCAAGCCTTCCCTTTTATTCTCTGCATGTCAAGGCACCGTCAGGTAACA